GCTTTTATTTAATTATTATCAAACATATTAGATTTTGGATTTAACCATCACAATTTGTATATGTTTTTCATTAATTTTAAAGTTGATTAAAATTTAAAGGACCTTTTTATAAATAAAAAAGTTCAACACCAAAATGGTGTAAACTCATTTTTTACACCAAATTTGGTGTAGAAAATGGGTTTACACCATTTTGGTGTTGAAAAGAGTGTTGGATTGGAGAAGGTTTTCAAAAAATAGGTTTGGTGTAAGATTTGGTGTACTATTGGAGATGCTCTAAGACAATCTTCAACCCAAAACTCCATTTTTTACTGCAAAATAGAGTAACTCTAAAATGGAGTTGTGTTTTTACTCTAACCCTACTCTATTTTGGAGTAAACAATAGAGTGAAAAACAAAAAAATGAAGTGATATATGGAGTTACTCCATATTTGGAGTAAACCTACGTTTTACTTTATTTTGGAGATGAAAATGCAAATTTGACTGCAAACTCCATTTTAAAATAAAAATGGAGGAGGGTTGGAGATGGCCTAACTCTTCTAGAATGATGTCTATCGAACTCATTATATAAAAAAAAAATTATGCGAAAGGCAAAAGGAAAAACGAAAAATACATGACCAGAAGTGAAAACAAATTCTTGAAGACGTTATAGCCCTAATAAAATGGGAGAATTTTTTCTTTGAACAATCTAAAAAATTCATAAGATGTTTGAATCCTAATAAAGAAGGAGAAATTTTTGTAATCAAACTAATCAAAAACCGACTACTAAATCATATTACTGTGCAAACGAAATGAATTTGACACCTCTAACGATTTTTAGATTGGATCTAAAAACGGGATACCAAACTCGGTTTGTTTTAGGGTGACACAATCTATAAATCAAATCTTTTATTAATCTGACAGTCCTAAAAGGTTTGGGACTTGGGTTCTAAAAAGATGACAATGAGAGAGAAATTTTTGTAATCAAACTAATCAAAACCCGACCACTAAATCACATCACCGCATAAACATATTGAATTTGACACCTCTACCGATTTTTAGATTGGATCTAAAAACGGGACCAAATTCGGTTTGTTTTTACGGTGACACAATCTAACAATCAAATCTTTGATTAATCGAACAGTAAAAAAAACATCCTATAAGGTTTGGGACTTGGGTTCTAAAAATATGATAATGGGTGAAGAAAACGCGCTGATGAAAACATGTTATGCATATTGAAGGGTTTTAATATACTTCTGTTCTTCGCACAAAAAAAAA